GAGAAAAACAGCTCCACTGTCTCCTGGAAAGGATCTCTTTGCCTATGTCAAGCTAGGGAGGGAAGGTTTCCGATTACTTCTTTGCCTATGTTTGATAGAAAGTTCGTTGTATGTATATAGGAGGTTTGCGATATGTCCGTATAGGGAGTATACATGGAATCTATGCATACTTCGATTATGGTTTTAGATCTTTATGCGAAATATACAGTGCAGTATTGGTGAGCATGATGGTTTTGCTCACCCCCATTGTTTGTTTTGTTCTCTTGTTTCATTTTCCTATCTTTAGGTTGAGCATGGTTGGCGGCGGCAGCGAGGGACGAGCGAGTAGTGGTCAAGGATGTGTCGTGTCCTTTGCTTCTTTTGCTTCCGCTATTATCTATGTTGGATTGATTGCTTTTCATTGAACTATTATGCTTGCGCTTTCATTTGAAAAATGTTGGTTTGAATTTCTGGATCATGTTTAAGCCTTTGTTTGTTTTCTGAGACTTATAATAATTTGGTTTGATGATTATGATCGTTAGTATGCATGTGTAGGTAATTTGTAGTTGTACTTAATTGTTTATTTTTGTTAGTAGTTTTAAGTAGCGCCCGTTAATGTTTATAGTTTTAAGTTGGAATTTTGTGAAAAATTTACTCTGATTTTTATAAATAAATTTGGTAAACTCTTCAAAACAAAATGTGGCGTTACAGTTGTGACAAACAATTACGTTGCAAGATCTAACACTTTGTACATTACTTTTTATCTACTCCATCTATTGTGTGTTGTTGGTCAGTTAATCTGAATAAATGAAATCTATGATTTATTTCTTACTTTTCTTTTGTCATTTATGAAGTCGTTACCCTTCGTACTTCTTGGATTTTTGGTACGCTAACTTTATACAATTCCTTATGTTACACGCAATGATTGTAATGGGGATTGTAGTTTTGCATACAAAAAAGGCACATGCTATGCAGAAGCATATGAATACTTTGATTTATACCGGTACATGCTTTAGAAAGTATCATTGCCTATCAAGTATGAGGCTGTCGATGTTTACATTTTTTTGCCATGAAAACCCTCATGAACAATGTGAAGAACATAATCGTAATTGCAATATGCCAGATTTGGAACAAGCAGTTGCTTATGAGAATCAAGAGGAATAAATTGTTGCTATGGTTGAAGAGTCACTTACTATAGTGCATGAATCTTGTGCCATAATAATATCCTTTTTTGGAGTTGATTATTTACCTTCTGAACATTGTTCTCTATGGAAATATTCTTCCTAAATAATTTCAAAAATTAGTAAAATTCTATTTACCTATAGTCTCAAAGTAGCTTAACTAGATGCTTATCCTGCCTTATTTATTCTTCTGAAACTATGTATAAAGATACTGAGACGTTTTTGAAGATTGTGGTTTGTAAAGCAGAACGACTTGATTAGTTTCCTAAATAGTATCCGATGGAGCGAGAAACATACTTTATCATATGTCGTGATTATTGCTCACAAACATCACCACACAATATTCAAATTCTTCCAGGCAAATTCTCCCACCAACGTACACCAACATATAACACGTTTTCATGGTTTCATCTCCCCTTTTTACATTTTCCAATATGTAGGCATAATAAAATGAGAGGAGTTGTATTAAGAATGACCTTTCTGTTGTTCTTCCTTTTGCAGGGATGATAATTGATGATAAAGTCGGTCACCCCAGGAACAATGACTTCTACCTATGTGCACATGCAGGGATAATAGTAAGACTTCTATTTTTGTTTCATCTCCTGAATTCATTTATTTTCTAGATGGTGTCTTAATCACTTATATTTATAATTTGGTTATCACATTGTTAAATTATGTTTGGTATGCATTGATAATTTTTTATATTTTCTTCATACTTTAGAATATGTTTTTTTTTTTTTCCCAAAAGCTACATATAATTCAATGCTTAGTATGGATATTTTTCCTATAGGGACGACCAGACAAACGCGTTAACATGTGCTGCTAGATTGCTAGATATGTATGAGGTTGGTTTTTCTCGTTATGAGTTTCAAAATAAGAAGTTGTATGATACAGCCTCAGTTGATAAAAAGGGCCAATTTTTTGAAATGGTACATCCAGTTGTTGGAGAAGAATGTGAGAAAGCTCGATTTGAGTTCAGATGGGATTTACACTATTGTTATTTGAAGAACTCATGTGGGATCATCTTGTTCAAGGAGTTTTGGAGGGGTACCTGGCTTATTGCTCCATGTTGATTTATTTATTGGCAAATAGTTCTTGCGAACATATTAACATAGTTTTATAGCGTTTGGACTATCAATTCGATTTTAAAATGATTGTTTTTCGGATGAGTTTCTGTCTGATCTTAAAAATTCATTCGTTATTATTTTTGCTTGTTCCATTTTATTATTAGTATACTTTTTCTTAGGAGGAGGATATCTCATCAATGTTTTTGTGAAGATGTTTATTAGTGAATCGTGTTCACTGGTGTCTGGCTTACAATAGAGAATCAAGAACAAGTTTGTGTTTGCTGGTTCGACAAAGACTATTGAGACTCAAATTGTACATGGACTAAATTGAGCTCGGGTGTGCGGGTTACTAAATACTTAGTACTACGCTCGATTGATGCTAAATTTTAACTTGATTATAGATTAAACTTGAGTCGGATGTGCGTGCACAACCAAGGGACCACTAGTATGTTCCCTACAACATAATACGAACACAAAAAGCAAACAACTTAAATTTTTAGAATATCTCTTAATAATTATTTTACAATATAATTATATATGGACTAATTTTTTTAAAAATTGCACGGGGGCCTACGGGCCCCTGTCTGGGTCCGCACTGGGTGTTAATCTCCATAAAATTTTATTGTTGCTAAATAAATAAAGATATATTATTATATATAGAGTTGGGATCATATGAGAAAGAGTCATAGTGAAAGAAATGAGAATGAATTATAGCCATTGGATGTGATATATCAATGCTCTAGATGCGGTCAAAGGGTCCAGCTTTAGTCAAACACGCGGTGGCATTACTGTAAATAAGTGGACTTTTGATTTTTCACGCAGGGGTATTTTAGTCACTGCACAGAATGAATTGTTACGCTAAAGTGCAATATGAAGAACACTAAAGTGCAACGCGTCTATCAATAAGTTGCAGTCTGTTGAACTGTTATTTTTAATGTGCATATTAAAATGTTATATTGTGCAATGAATTGTGCATTAATGTGCAATGTGTCTATCAATAAAGTGCAATATGTAGAGCTGTTATTTTTAAAGTGCATATTAAAACCTATATTGTGCAAGGCATTGTACATTAATGTGCAATTATTAAAATTTTATTAAATTACAAATTTGACCCATAAACTAAATTGTAATATATTAAAAACTCAAAATTTTCAATTAAGTCTCTAGGACTTATCAAATTTTCAAAAATCACCCTACCCCAAATGAATTTTCCTCCTGCAAATTTTCGGACATCAACCGTCTACATGTTTTCGGCGGGTCCAGCCGGACTACAAGAAGAGGCAATCGAATGACGTTGATTTCACAGTTGATGAGTCGACTTCAATTTTGACGGTTTATAGAAGTCGCGCGGGCCGGCGAGGTGGCCTGACCGATTAGATTTTCAGGATGAAGACGGTGAAGGCAACGGAGCCGTCGATTATATTTTTTTGGTTGCCGATAGATACGATTGAGAAGTCCTCGATTACCAGGTTGCTTGGACGGGAAAGATGGCGGCGGCGACAGAGGCGAAGGCGGAGGTGCAGGCGGAAGCGGAATTCTCTAAGCTCTTTGTCTTCTCTCCGCGATTTGTGCAGGGTCCCTCTGACCTGCAGTGGCGAAGCAAAGCTGTGGCGGCGGACCAAAGAGGTGGCGGGACTGGCTGGCGGCGGGCGGCGAGCGAGTAGTGGTTGTTGAAATTCTGACCGGCGTATGGATTTGTTGAGGTTGGGTTTTGCAGTCTGTGGTGCGTGGGTGGAGGGTGGGTTGAGAATTGGATAGGGCCTACTTGATGTGTGATTGTGATATGTCTAATTTATCCTTATGTGATGGATGTAATGTCTAATTTATCCCTAACTAATGTAAATGTTTTAGCATTTTTTTAACCGTTGGATGATTAAATTTAATGGCTAAGATGCATTCCTATTTCTTTCACTGAGCACCATTCTCACTTGAACCCAACCCATTATATATATATATCCATTATCATGCTTAAACTATAGTTGATTTATTTCTAAACAGATAAAATCTCGTTATAAAAAGATAAAACAAATAAAATATAAAAATGCTATAAGTACATAATAAATGTACATAGAGATATACATAACACTCACATGGAGCGGGGACCACTTGATTTTTTATTTTGGTAGGACCCACTTAATGTGAGTATTATGTACATCTCTATGTACACTATTATGTACCTATAGCATTTCTCTAAAATATATAAACATATTTATTGAAAAATATATATAACCCAAATAGTGGGCTTGCTTGTTTATGGAATAATTTTCTCACTTTCATTTCAACTAAAAATTTAACTCACTCTAACTCAACTCAACTATCTTTAATATTATTAATATAATTAAATGATACAAACTAATCATTCTTACACATTACATCAACTTTAATTTACTATTCACCCACTCACATATTTTTAACTAACTATCATTTCCAATCATTTTCAATCATTTATCTCTTACTTTTACATGAAATCAATTTTAATTATTTTATTTTATATATTATTTTAATACATTTTAAAATTCCACTAACACTACTTTTTCAAAATTAAATGTGGTAAACCAAAATAACTTTCCCTTAATTTCATTTGTATCAAAACGGAATTTTCTGCTGTAATTTGCCAAAAGGTTCACCGTCGAAGTCATGTCGAGAGATCGGGCCGATCTGAAACGCAGTCCCGATTCGCTCTTCATCTGAGCCCGTTGAACAGTGAAGAAGATCTGAACTTTTTACCATCCATATCAGATCCATAGTTTAGGCCGCAAGGAATTTGAGCAGAATGCTGCGGTTGCGTGCCTTTCGCCAGACGAACGATAAGATCGTGAAGATTCAGTTGCACCCGACGCACCCATGGCTCGTCACTTCAGATGCCTCCGATCACGTCTCCGTTTGGAATTGGGAACATCGCCAGGTTGTGGTCTATTTTGCGTTTTTCTCTCTTCAATCGTTGGGTAGCTTGGTTTGTTTTGTGAAATGGTTGTAATTTCGAGTTGATTTGGGCTTTTTTTCTAGGTGATTTACGAGTTGAAGGCTGGGGGTGTGGATGAGAGACGTTTGGTTGGAGCCAAGTTGGAGAAGCTGGCCGAGGGCGAAACAGGTATTGTTTGTGACATTCATTTTATATGTGTTGTTACGTGTTGTATAACTGTGGTCAGGATGTTGAGGTATTTGAATTTGGATGCTTCTCGATATGTAGAACTTGACACGATTTATTGATAATTCAGGAAATTGGTTGCTCATTTAGGTTGGGAATGGTATGGAGTATCAGTAATCAGTTTGAACTGTGACTATATTTGTTCTTTTGAAGAGTTTGCACCCTTGGTTACCAGGGTGATATAATCAGTTTAAGTGATGATGAGCTTTTGTTGCCAACCTAGCCTAGAAGAAGAGGTTGTTTGTCATTGTACAGTATAAATCCATCTTCCCCCTTTCTTGGAGTTGATGCAAAATCAATGGCTACTGGATTTATTTATTTGCTTTGAACACTTGGCTGATAATGTCTTTAAGTAGGGAAATAAAAAGTTAAATTAGGTGCAATGCCCATCCATTTATTTTCTGCTTTACTATAGGATGTACAAAAATTGAAGAAGTCTTTATCGTGTGGCAAGTCTTTGCTAATATGTATCGTTTGATAATGTTCAGTCATTAGCCATTACTCCTGAAGAAATCATGTTTTGAGTTTTTTTGTTGTTTTCTTATAGAATCTCAAGGAGCCTTTTCACCTAACTCTTCTATGGAGGATAAATCCTTAATTGAGGCGATTAGTTAAATGCAGTAAATATCATGTGGACCGATATTTCTGGTGTAGATTAAGTACTAACGATTATTGGGTTTCATCCTTTTATGCATCTTAGAGTCTCGAGGAAAACCCACAGAAGCTATACGAGGTGGAAGGTATATTTCCATTCTTATCTCTAGATACCTTTCGTTACCCTTAATTCATATAGTTATGCAATGTTCATAAATGCGAGTCTGAAAATGTGGCACATGGTTTCTAGTGTTAAACAGGTTAGCTTTTATGATGATGATGTACGCTACTGGCAGCTTTGGCGGAATCGATCTGCTGCTGCTGAAGCTCCAACAGCAGCCAATAATTTAACTTCAGCTTTCAGTTCCCCACCCCCCTCAACAAAAGGGCGCCATTTTCTTGTCATATGTTGTGAGAACAAAGCAATTTTTCTAGATTTGGTCACAATGCGTGGCCGAGATGTACCAAAACAGGACTTGGACAACAGATCTCTATTATGGCAAGTGTTGAATCTAGTCATTGTCTGAGGAAATTGTAGTACTATTATGTAATGTGTAATCTTGCACTTGTTTGATAGAAAATTATTTTAAAACCCAAGTGTTGGTTGCTGAATGAGCCATATGTTATGTCAAAAGGTTTAGTTGTATCCCAGAATTGGAGTCTAGTTATTAGGTTTTGGAGAAGTTTAATATCAGTCTAACTAATGTACAAATCGCAAGTGAACTTGTGTAACACGATCAAGCTGATCTGTCGATTTTCATGCCTGGAAAACAACCCCTTACTATAAAGACCTTGATGTCATGACCTTGGGTTACAGCAAGGCTGCATTTGCAATTGACATGAATAATTAATTGCTGTTTTGGTGGAACCCTGTCCTTGCATATGCATGAATGTTATGTGCCATATCTTCTTTTCATGCTCATCATGTCTGAACTTTAACTGCGAGAAGTTTATGATTTGATTAATTTTGTAAACCTTCTGTTATCACATCCAAAAGTCATTTGTTTAGTGAGTCTGACAGTAGTTTTAATTAATGAAATCTAGTGCATTCTTTATGTCGAGTGAATAAATAGTAGCACTGCACCAGGATAGAACAACTTTTCTGAAATTGCTTTCCCTGTCTTTTGGAATTTAGGAAGTCTCTTGTTGACCAGGTCCTCACCCAACCACTGCACTGAAATTTGTGTTTGTCTGCTACTGCTCTTATGTTTCAGCAATCTAAAGGATTATGTATCCTGAATAACTGAAGTATTTTCATGCAGTATGGAATTCCTGTGTAGATCCTCTGCTAGTGATGGACCTCTTGTGGCATTTGGTGGATCAGATGGTGTGATTAGAGTTCTTTCCATGCTAACTTGGAAGGTCTTTTTTATAATTGTTCTCAGTTTTACTCATTAAGTTATACCTGCAACATGAACAAACATTGCATATGTTTATTTTGTCCGCAGCTTGCTAGAAGGTATACTGGAGGTCACAAGGGATCAATTTCTTGTTTGATGACTTTCATGGCCTCCTCTGGGGAGGTAGTTTCTGACTTCTGAGTTTTTAACCAGCATAGTTATTTTTCTTTTCATTTCTTTTTCTTCAAAAGAATACATTATAATGCCCAGGCAAATGCATTGAGTCAAATTTCCATGCCTTCATCTGCTTCCACATTTGTCTTGGTCTTTGTGTCTGTTGTGTTCTGTTTCTCGTTATCCTCACTTTTATTGATGTGCACATGAATCAGGCCCTTCTGGTTTCTGGTGGTAGCGATGGCTTGCTTGTTCTTTGGAATGCAGACTATGGTCAAGATACCCGAGAACTTGTTCCCAAGCTGAGCTTAAAAGTAATTTTTGGCATATTCCATCAGTCTTCTATTTACCTGATTGTTTTATTTCTCTAATTATTTTATCTTTGAGTCCTCTATTAACATTGACAGAAATATCCAGCTTAAATTTTGCAGTTTTGATGATTGTCTAAATGGCCTTTAATTTTCTCACAATATCAGGCACATGATGGTGGGGTTGTTGCGATTGAGCTTTCTCGTGTTGTTGGTGCTGCACCACAACTCATTACAATTGGTGCAGACAAGACTTTAGCTATCTGGGACACAATGTCATTCAAGGTTCTCGTAATTTGCTGTATTTATTAAGACAAGAAAATTAATGTATGATATTTTCCTTATTATCCTAGTACTTACCTTTTGCTACTTGTAGGAATTACGCAGGATAAAGCCTGTTTCGAAATTGGCTTGCCACAGTGTGGCATCTTGGTGCCATCCTCGAGCTCCAAATCTCGATATTCTGACCTGCGTTAAAGATTCTCACATATGGTAGTTCAAGTTATATATGTTGGTGCTTAGTTTGTCTAACTAAATTGAGTTATGAGATTTTTGTAAATCAACAACAATTGGTGATACTTGGGACCCTTCAGAAGACATCATCCCTGTCAATCTGATAGGAATTTTGATTCATGATATTTGTGGCAGGGCCATTGAGCATCCTACTTATTCAGCTCTGACAAGGCCATTATGTGAACTGTCATCATTAGTTCCACCTCAGTTGCTTGCATCACACAAGAAGCTTAGGGTATGATATTAATAGAATCTGTTAATGCTGATTTTGATCATCTACTAGTTGACTTTAAGATAATTGATTTTTACTGTGCTCCTATTTCCCTTTAATAGGTGTATTCTATGGTTGCACATCCTTTACAACCCCATCTTGTGGCAACTGGAACCAACATGGGTGTCCTCATTTGTGAATTTGATCCGAAATCACTTCCACCTGTTGCTCCATTACCAACAGCTCCGGGAAGCAGAGAACATGCTGCGGTTTATGTTGTTGAAAGGGAACTGAAACTGTTGCAATTTCAATTGTCTAACACTGCAAATCCAGCTCTTGGCAGCAATGGCTCCTTAAATGAAGTGGGAAGAGTCAGGGGAGACACACCAGAACAACTTCATGTGAAGCAAGTCAAAAGCCATATCAGCACTCCCGTTCCGCACGATTCATATTCAGTTCTCTCTGTGAGCAGTTCTGGAAAGTAAGTGTCTTCTGTTTTTCATTACTTGATAATGCGATTATTCTCGAGCATTGATCTCTCAAGAGATACTGAAGTGAAAACTTTGTGCCAGGAATCTCCCAATAGAATTTAAACGTTATAGAATTCGGTTCTCATATTATTGGATATTATGAACATTGTTGACCATCTTTTGTTCTCTCTTACACATTGGCATACACATTGGTTAATGCACTGATTTTAACATCTTTCGCTTTTTTCTAATTTCGCAGGTTCCTTGCCATTGTGTGGCCTGATATTCCGTATTTCTCCATTTATAAGGTCAGTGATTGGTCGATTGTCGATTCGGGTAGTGCGAGGCTCTTGGCCTGGGACACTTGCAGGGACCGGTTTGCGCTGCTGGAGTCCGCATTGCCACCCAGAATGCCAATAATCCCTAAAGGCAGCTCCTCCAGGAAAGCTAAAGAAGCTGCGGCAGCAGCCGCTCAAGCTGCTGCGGCCGCAGCTTCGGCCGCTTCCTCCGCCAGTGTTCAGGTACGCATATTGCTGGACGATGGAACATCAAATATATTGATGAGATCAGTCGGTAGCCGCAGCGAACCAGTGATCGGTTTGCATGGAGGAGCACTACTTGGTGTCGCTTATCGGACATCTCGAAGGATAAGTCCTGTTGCCGCCACAGCCATTTCAACAATTCAGTCCATGCCCTTGTCGGGATTCGGAAGTACTACCAATCCTTCTTTCAGTGCCATGGACGATGCATATTCCTCACAGAAATCTTCTTCGGAGGCGGCACCTCCAAACTTTCAGTTATTCAGCTGGGAATCTTTTGAACCAGTTGGAGGCCTTCTTCCTCAACCAGAATGGACAGCGTGGGACCAAACTGTTGAATATTGTGCTTTCGCCTACCAGCAATATATTGTCATATCCACATTGCGCCCTCAGTTTCGGTACCTTGGGGATGTGGCGATCCCTCATGCGACCGGAGGTGTTTGGCACAGGAGGCAACTGTTCGTGGCTACCCCGACTACCATTGAGTGTGTCTTTGTGGATGCTGGCATTGCACCTATTGACATTGAGACCAAAAGAAGGAAGGAGGAGATGAAGCTTCTGGAGGCACAGTCGAGAGCCATCGCGGAACATGGTGAATTGGCATTAATAACAGTTGATAGTCAACAAAAAGCCTCGCAAGAGAGGGTCACTTTGAGACCTCCTCTGTTGCAGGTGGTGAGGTTAGCTGCTTTTCAGCATTCCCCCTCCATACCTCCATTCCTTACATTGCCTAAACAATCTAAAGCCGACGGTAATGACTCTCCAATACCAAAAGAGATGGAAGAAAGGAAATATAATGAAGTTGCCGTTGGGGGTGGAGGAGTTGCGGTTGCCGTTACTAGATTTCCGTCTGAACAAAAACGACCGTTGGGACCCCTTGTTATTGCAGGCGTGAGGGATGGCGTTCTGTGGCTGGTTGACAGGTACATGTCTGCGCATGCAATATCACTTAGTCATCCTGGAATCCGTTGCCGGTGTCTTGCAGCATATGGAGATGCCGTTAGTGCGGTAAAATGGGCGAGCAGGCTCGGCAGAGAACATCACGATGATTTAGCTCAGTTTATGCTCGGGATGGGTTACGCCACTGAGGCCCTTCATCTGCCTGGTATATCCAAGAGACTGGAATTTGATCTGGCAATGCAGAGCAGTGATTTGAGGCGGGCTCTTCAGTGTCTGCTCACAATGAGCAACAGCAGGGATATTGGCCAGGAAGCTCTGGGGTTGAATTTGAATGACATTATGAATTTGTCCTCGAAGAAGGAAGATGTTGTGGAAGCTGTTCAGGGAGTGGTTAAGTTTGCTAAGGAATTCCTCGAACTTATTGATGCCGCTGATGCTACTGCGCAGGCTGACATTGCTCGGGAAGCGCTTAAGAGGTTGGCTGCTGCGGGTTCTGTGAAAGGAGCTCTGCAGGGCCATGAGTTGAGAGGCCTTGCTCTGCGCCTTGCAAATCACGGAGAATTGACTCGGCTCAGCGTATGTATCTGTATTCAAACCTGTTGATTCTTTTGGCTACCACCAACATTCTTCACACGAAAAAATTTAAAACCTTATGAATCTTGAAGCAAATTTCTCTGCTTGACTTTAAACTCCATATTGTAGTCTTGTAGTAATAGAGGTTTAGCAAAATAGATTCAACAAATCGTGCCAGTTAAAAAGCAAAAGAAGAAGAAAATAAACTTGTGAATTTGTTTGAAAGTGCATGATTTTTCCATAATCTGTTATGTGAACACATGATTCTCCATCTTGATTTGCAATCTCCAGCTGGAAAAGGATGCTATCAGTGAACTTTCTGAATGGTTGTTTTTATTATTTTGTTTATTTTTCAAATTGTAAAATTTGGGCACCAATTTAGGCGCTGCTTTATTTACCAACATTGCACGTTTGCCAGAACTGTAGGAAAATAGACTTTCACAGCAGTGTAAAAGAACACCAAGTATGACCGGAATGTATGCTCTTACTTAGTTTACTGATGTCCTTTAATCAAACTTCCTACCTTCTGGTGTTAAATCCTGTTAGTGCTATTAGCTGCCTTCACTTGGTATGTCTCAGTTGTTGAAACTGTGACTTCACTTGTATATATACTTGTGCATTCTTACGATAGTGTTGCATGTCTTTGAAGTGTGTTTTGATTATTCTACTTGTTGTGGTCTTACAGATTGCTCTCTCTGTCATGTTCAATGTACGTTATTTGACCATTATCTACTTTTTGGACATGCAGAATTTGGTGAACAGTTTGATATCAGTCGGATCAGGAAGAGAAGCTGCTTTTTCGGCTGCTCTTTTGGGTGACAACGTACTCATGGAGAAGGCTTGGCAAGATACAGGGATGCTTGCAGAGGCTGTTCTTCATGCTCACGTACGATTTCATTTTCCCATAGCAATATTAATTTGAGTTGTTAATTACAAAAAAATTCCCAATGATTAACCTTTATTAACGTTGTTACAAAATAAAAACCAGCCATCTTTTGAAATATGAAAAATGCATTCGTCTTTTGTTAAAAGCATTCTTAAGTTTTGTATTTTCTTAATAGCACCGTCCAGTCGTGCATTTTTGTAAATTAGAAACATACATGTTTTCTAATTCGATAGATACTCTGGTTTTTCTGTAGTTAGACTTGGATATCAAGGGTAGTCAACCCAACCCAACCCAACTCGTCTGTCTCTCTTTCAGGCTCATGGCAGGCCCACATTGAGGAGCCTTGTTCAGGCGTGGAACAAGGCGCTACAGAAGGAGATGGACCACACCCCATCCACCAAAGTTGATGCTGCAGCTGCCTTCCTCGCCTCACTCGAGGAGTCCAAGATCACAAGCCTCCAGGATGCTGCCAAGAAACCCCCAATCGAGATCCTCCCTCCCGGGATGGCATCTCTCTACGGACCCAACCCAGGCCAGCCAGGTCCCAAGAAGTCCGGTCTCACCAACCCTGCCCTCCCGACTTCCCAACCTGCTAAACCATTGCAGCTGGAGGCCGCACAACAGAGCGGACCCGCCTCGGAGCCACCTGAGCAAAACGCTGTTGCTGGGGATCCGGCCGCCGTTCCCTCTGATACCCAGCTGCCAGATTCTGCTGTTCCTCAGGTGGCCGAGTCGAGCGAGCAGGGGCAGGGTACTGAGTCGGAAGATCATTCCTTGGAAAATGAGGAAAAGAGTGTTGTTGAGGCTAATGGTGAGGGGTCCATGTCAGGAAATGAGTCGGTTGAGGTGAATGGAGGGGCCCAGCATGCCAATGACCAACAGAAAGTTGTTCGTGATGAGCTGCCCATGATCGATTTTACCTGAGACAAGTACATATAGGATGACGATATGATTTTGGTGATTTTTTCTGCTTGGCGGCAGCCAAGGGAGGACTACGTTGATTTGGACTTTTGTGTGGTGTTATGAAAGAGAATGGCCGGAGTTAGAGATATGATGTGGTTTTTCGTGTTTAATGTAGAGGTCCCCTCTTTCGCTCGGTTGTGTTTTCTGTTGTCTTTGATCTTCCAGGTGGGATATTCTGTACTGTAATATATTGTTGTATTTTTTGGGCAATTCGTTTGATTAAATTGAGCAGTGTTACCGGTACCATGTTGTGTTTGATGTAAATTGAGATTTAATGTATGCTGTGAGTTGACTAAATATTGCTTTTCAAACCATCCTGAGAATTTATCGAATAGCTGCACCGTGAACTAGGAGTGAGCATTCGACAGTTCGGTATGGATATTTAGAGATCATCAAAATCCGTTCTTTGGAAACTGTATTAAAAGTTGGAACCGTATCAAAATTTGTGATAGTTCGGAGATCTTTATATTTCGTTTTTGTTAAGAGTTGTAGGGGTGATATAACATAGAGAACTCGGTTTTGAATAGGGGCTCTTGTGTAACTCGGTTCTGGACCGGAGCTCTCTTAGTTCGGCTTATAGGCGGTATGTTATTCATGTCAAAGTAGGTTCTTGAGGGTTGTTATCGACCTGTGGCCCTAGACGACTTGAGACCTTGGATATCGAGCTGGTGTGAGAAAGCAATCTAGCTCAATATCATGACTTTGGGTCGACCTAAGGAGCCAAACAAAAGCGTCAATCGTGTGATATCTAATAGGGGCATGATTATGAGGATATTGAGAATACGAGATATATGGAATGATATCTAATAGGGGCTTGATTATGAGGATATTGAGAATATGAGATATATGGAAGGAGATCTAATGAAATAAGGTATGTTTATATCTAGTGCCCTCAAGTAGATAGAACTCTTGGACAACAAAGTGATTGTTTACATATATAAACGTTGAGACATGTTGATTGTAAGAATACTTGATCGATTATTGTCATACATACATCATATATGAGGACTGACTTGATCGTCAGAGGCTTTACGTCAGGAACCCTCCCAACGCCTTTTCAAGTACTCCGGCAAGAAGGTGAACATTTTTTTATCTCACGGCCAATCGGATCGAACTGCAGCTAGCGGCTCCCCTACTAAACTAAAAGCATCCCCTCCATAAATGACCCTCGTCGTGAAGGCCGATGGGAAGCCAAGGCCCTCGAGCACTTGCAAGGACAAGTCCGAACCTTCCTGCACGAGCCAGTAGCAAGGAATGAACAATCCCACCAAACGGAGAAACTTCAATTCCGCACTGCTGCTGAGTCGTCGGACTTATCCACCAAGGGATTCGTGGAATATCTGTGGATTGCACGGCCGGTGGTGGACCTTCGGCAAAGTCGGACCGATCAACTGCCTTCATTCAATTCATCAGGATTTCATTCCAAGAGTTCTAGCTCCACCTCCCCGGCACTGGCTGAGCCAACAATTCTAGCTAAAACTCCCAGTCTAATAAAGAAAGGGTTGGGTACATCGTCAAAGAAGAGAGAACAAAGGCCCGCTTTCACAAGGTTCAACCCCTTTTACTGGAATAAAGTACTTGGGATTAGCAGCGCTGCTTCCTATTGTATTCTTTATTGTATTATTACAATGTCCCCAGTCAGGAAGTCTAAGTAGCTGGGAAGGGTTAGCGACTGAAAGAGCATTTTGAGTTCTTTTTCTTGGGAAACCCGTCCCTAATGAATGAAGAATTATAGCTTCGCTTGCCTAAGATTTATACCACCCCCTTTCTGAAACACAGGTTCTTTTCTGTACCAGCTCACTATGATTCATTCGTACACGAGCTCCTTCATCAACACAAGAGTAGGACACTCCGGGCTTGCATTCATTAAACTTTATCGCTAGAAAGAAACTTCCCCTTCACCCCTCGTACAAAGGTCGAGCATCGTAGACGCGTCCTCTCCTTTTTCTTAGTCTCACCTTCTTCGCCCTCTTCGACTCACGTCACACATCCTTCGTCCCCTCAAATAGCAGGTTTGGAACCCTAGGCCAGCAATCGATCTTGAGGCAGGGAAAGCGAACCTAGCAACCCTTAGACAAGCGAGCTCTAGTACTTGATATCCCTCAACAACCCGCAATGCTAGGTTTGTTGAATTTGACGTATGCGCCCTCTGAATCGGACATGTTGAGCAAAGGACTTGATCAAGCAAGCACGATCAAAATTAAGCTTTGAGAGAGTCTCAGAGCAACAATACCAAGCCAGGAGTTTCCCAGTCTTGGATGGCTATGGATAGAGGTAGCTCCCTACCCCAATATTCGATCAGAAAGCGGGGGAGGCGAACCCAGATTGCAGCAAATGTCGAATGCATCATGAAAGGGTTGGAAATCCTCTCTCCACCGATCAAGTCCTAGGACTTAGCCGGTGATAGAACAAGGGCAAGGGCCTCCGGTGAGAACCTTAAGCTCATCAGCTTCATATTTGAAGCGAAAAATGAAAGACGAGGCCTCCAAAAAAGGGAGGCGGGGGATCACTTCTAACAGGCGTATGCTTTCGAAAACCGATGTTCGGACACAGGGGAGGGGGGCCCGATCATCCACCGTATAGTACCTCGGGGTCAGTAACAAACGAAAGCGAGCACGAAAGGAAGGCTTATACCAGCTCCTTGTAGTCCAATTGTCTTTGTCCCAATCCAATGTCTGTGATCAAGCTAGAAAGAATAGCAACATAGAGATTGAATTCGGTTTTGCTCTGTTTTCGTGAAGAGCCCGATGTCTTCAAATAGTAAGGTTGGTACGAGCCCTTGGTCCTATGGGTATGGAAGGAATTTCCTTCTTCTTGTGATAAGCATGTGACTAGGAGTCAGGCTCCCTCAACAAAGTACGCGAAAAAGACGTGAAAGCAGTCCCATCGGCCTCCTATCGTAATACTGCATACCTGGCATTCGTAGATCAAGGAATGAACTAAGCGCTAGTACCCTGCAAACAACCTATTTGTACTAAGTGAAGGCGCAAAGATCTCCATCTCTGCATCCTGGACCTTGCCATTAGTACATGAGTAGACTGCTTTTGTTCAAAGTTCTCTCCTCCGATTAGTAACCTGAGGTGCCCTCCTATGGAGCCAGAAGATGGTCTCCAAGTGGGTGAGTAGGTAGTTGTCTCATAGTTAACACCATTGGAAGTGGGCCGTTGCTGTCGAGCTTGCTGTCTCTTTAGCTTTGTCATTTTTGAAAAGTGCTTGTCTTGCCTCTTTCTTTGGAAAGTCAATTGAAGGAAATGCATCCGCACTCTCCTATATGTCATCAAACGACTTTTTTCTTATGCCAACGAAAGCGACGGTGGCAAGACGAAGAGAGAAATCTCTTATCCACAAAAGCGGCTCCGTCGTGATGACCAGCTACCCAGTCTGATTTCTAGTTTTCTTTGTTTTACCGAAAAGTTTGTTGCCCCGAGTCGTTTACCGGATAAAATTGAGCTGCCGTGACTTATTTCCTTTGAATTTCTCCTTCACTGGAACAGGATCCGCGCCTGTGCAGGTCGAGATCCAAAGCCATCAATCAAGCCAACAAGCGAGTTCGAGTGGTACCATTGGACCTGTTTTGGAATTGCTGTCTATTGAAAAAGAGTAGAATTGGGATCTTACTGAACCATTACCCAGCCCCAATTGGTGAAGCCCATAACTTTATCTTGAGGAAGCGAAGTGAAGGAAAGGTTTGAAGAAGGGTCAGCTATTATTTTATGACTAAACTTCGCTATTCCCTTCCTCTTCCCCTAAGAATCTATTCCTCTCAAAAAAGTATGCTTTCCGGATGAAGCTTTGCAGTCCGCCCCGCAGGAACAAGTTCGGCTTGGCTCTTTTTTTTTATAGAATAGGCCCTATTTTTTTTTTATTTTGGCTATCTTTGACGAGCTGATCCACTCAATTACATCGACCCTGTGCATATGCATATATAGAGCCCTGCCCTTCAAGTTAGGGGATTCCCAGTGCTATCGGCTTTTCATTCACTTCGGATTCTCCGCCTTACTAGAAAAGCGCCCCCTCAAAAGAAAGGGAAGGTCGATAGCACTACCCAAAACGAAACGAGTGGGCTTCCCCTATCGTCTTAACGGTGGTAAAGTCTTCCACCGGTGTGGATTTCCTTGGCCGATTACTTCCCTCTTTTCTGCTTGCTGTCAGCAGGTAAAGGACAAAGGGAAGGGGACGAAGGGAATCTTACTACGACACTAAGACTACTAAGCCTAATTCAGTCTATTTGGCCACTATTCCTACCATTACTAGAGCTACTGCAGTAAGGAAGGAATTCGCTTTCAACCTTGTTGCGGGGGGTTGAAAATTGAAACCACTACTTCTCCGCCGATTCCCACTTTCACTCTTTTGCCTCGTCCTAGGCGATGGAATTTGGATACTAGAGTAAGCTATTCTCAATGGGCTTAGCCAAGTTCTCGCCGTTCAGAAGTGGGATATTCCTATGATATAGTCGCTCAGTCATTTGTTCATTTATTTCTTGATTGAGTCCAGGATATTGGAAATAACATAAAAAAAGAGTAGGCAGAACCGGGTATTCACTTACTGCCTAATTCCAAGTTTCAACCGAACTGCTGGCACCCGTTTTCCAAGCTCTTGCTTTTAGGGCAGATAGATGCAGCCATCAAATATGGAGCTACGAACAAAAGCTAACGGTAGGTCAGACAGGTCTGGGATCATTTTGACGGCTGGAGCAAACCTTGCTTTTACATAGCTATGCCCTTTAGTTGCATGTTCAACCTAGGCAAGACCCTACTTGCAGATTTTTCCATCATCCAATCCACAATAAATCGAAAGAAAGTCGGATAGTTCTCACCTACTCAAACGAGATTTTCAATCCCCCGCCCCTGCCATTCATCCTGAGAGTTCTATCCCGGGAAAGTTCTTTTAACTCTGTAGATTCCCTTGTCATTAGATCCGCGAAGGCGAAGTCCTTCTTCTTGGCTTGAAAACAACCTTAT